GGGGGGGGGGGGGGGGTGCAGGTGTTTCTTGCTGCCGCGCACGAGACAAACGCTGGCGTACCTGCTCGACGCCCTGCAGGCTGGCATCGCCTTCTCCCAGAGGTGACGTTACGCACAGCAACAAGTGTCCTGTGCCTTTTTTGCTTATTTGCCGTTGTCCTTTCCGTTGTTTGTGTTGTTGTTGTTGTTGCTGTTGTTGTCGCTGGTAGCGGTGGTGGTACTTGTTGTTGCTGTCGCCCTTGTTAAATTATTGGAACTTGGTTTATCATTGTCGTTGTCCGTGTTTGATGTCAACTTTCGCAAAGTCCCTCGCGAATGAAACGTGCAAGATTACGGAGCAATGCAGCATTTCTTAAGAAAGCTCGCGTACTCGGAGTTACTCCTGAGTCTGGTCGCCTCGTCCTCCTCCTCCCGGTTGATCACGCAACTATCACGACGAAGTCGAGTTATGCGAAGCTTCCGCGACGTAGCCCCCTCTCTCCCACCCTCACCCCCGCCTCCTTCCTTTCCCTCCTCTCGACACGAACTACACGAACACAAGATACGGGGAGTACGTCATCCAGTTTGATGACCGATCCGGAAGATCCTCTGACGGGGCACCGGAGACGAATGGCGGGTTCACCCAGGGTCCTAGCGCTGCTCGCGAGGAGGAAGATGGGGGGGGCAACAGGGGCGAGGGGAGGGACGAGGCGTGCAGGGAGTCTTTGAAGAAGCTGGACGAGCTGTGGCATGACCTGGTGTCGGCGCTTGGTTTCGTGATTCCGCTGCTGAAGGAGGTCGGTCCGCTGTATTATTTAGCTCTTTCCTCGCTCAAACCGCTGCTGCAGCTGTTTTTGCTGTTGTTGGGGCACCGTAGCACTTGTTGAAATTTGTAAAGCATCTTCCGCACCCCCAACCCCTTGTCCTTTGTCCCGTACACTCCTTGTGTACCCGAACGATTTGTCCGCCTCATCGAACCTGGGATAGCTATGTAATAAAAACTCCCGATGGCGGTGTGTTGGTTGCCGATTTCGTCCCTCGGCGCTCGTGCCGCATCACTCTTACTCCTTTCTTCTCCCCTCGCCCCTGCCCCCCCCC